CTCGGGTTCTGCTGTACACTTTCACGGACCGCGGCGATGTTCTCGGCCGATCTTGCGTTCCTTGAACGTACGGGTGTTGGCTGATTGTTTACTGAACCGGTCGTCTCAAATTTGGCCACCAAACGTTGAAGAGTCGACTGTGAAGGGCCACCACGTCTACCGTAAAATGGGCGCAATGCGCGCAACGTTTGCGTTAACGAACACTCATTTTGATAATAAAGTTTTATCATTTGAACGTGCTGTTCAATCGTGTAACTTGCCATGATGATTTGGCATAAACAACTGAATAATAAACAAAAGATTTGACAGATGTCACCAAAACAAAATGGCCGCCACGGGGCGCCAAAATCTAACCGCGCCAATTGATACACATGATACACTTATTCAGAAATAAACTTGTGAGGCGATGAAATTTTTTAGAAACAACAATGCCAGTCACCAACAGCATTGGAGGACAAGTAATGATACGCCTCTGTACAGAGTAGTTGTATGTCTTGCAAGAGCTGTAGTAGGGGTTACATTAAAAATGAGTTTGTGCGCATGGGGGCGGGCTCGCCATCACGTTTGGCGCTTGCTGTAATATACCTGGAACTATAAACCATCTCATTCGAATAGTTTTGAATGTCAAATATTCTGAATTATAGTAAAACCAATAATGATTGAGAGTAAAGCCCGTTGTCATATCTAAATTTTACGTTACCAGTTTATAGCAGAAACAAAATATAGTAAGCAGTAGAGTTGTAGGTTGTGGCAAATTATAGATAATACACAATACTAGTACGATTAAACTCCTCGAATTATTCTCGTACATTGGACGAGCTTGACAGGTTGCCATGTTATCGATATCTTTTGTNGCGACCTGATAAGTACGAATGAAACCAGTGGAGAGTGTTGCCTCTGAAGCCATACTGTTGCAACTTATTAAGAAGGATCTCATGGTTGACACAGTCGAAAGCTTTCGATAGATCACAGAAAATAGCAGCGACTGCTTCTTTAGCGTTATATTCGGAGTATATCGTTTCTAACAGAGAGAACATAGCATCATTAGTACCCTTATTTGCTTGGAATCCAAATTGACGAGAAGTAAGGATGTTATTATCATTGCAAAAACATAAAATTCTGCTTTTCACTAGTTTTTCTATGAGTTTAGCAAGGGTAGGAATAAGTGCTATAGGCCGGAAGTTGGAAGGGTCATCATTGGGTCCACCCTTATACAAAGGGATTATCAGAGATGTTTTCAGAAACGATGGGAACTCGCCAGATTTATGAGTTGTGATAAAACCACTAAGGTTGAATAAGGTAGATTTTGAAAAAGTTTAACAGAAATATCGTCTATACCTTTGCTTTTCTTGTTTTTAATATTTTTGATAACTGCTGTTATTTCCTCGGGATTTGTTTCATAGAGAGAGAAACTTTCTAGATATGTCAATATTGGATTCATTTCTTTGGATTTGATTAAGAAATTGTAGGACGGACTTTCACATTTAACAAATGTCGTTCAGCGATTTCGGGATACCTATTTCCTTGATTATATAAGTATACGTAACTTTCGGAAGTCTTTGTTAATTTGTCATTACAGTGAATGAAAATTTTGTGAAATGAGTCTGTCGTTGTTTAGTGGTTTCTCTCTTCAGACATAGTCAGCCAAAGCAACGCAAAACTACTTGGCGCCCATTGGCCACGTTTATTGTGTATGCAATTTTCCAACGATCTGTACGACCCTGATGCAAGTTGTTCAAGAGCAAGCACAGTACTTGCCATACTTAACCCTACAAAACTATTCATTATTTTTTTATCTTCATGTAAGTTAACAGACAAATAGAAGGACGTGATAGAGCTCAAGAAAGTGTTTAAGGCTTTGAAAGAATATAGGAGAGAGGAAGAACGATTACGCCAAAAAGAAGACCATGAATTATTACTGGATATTCTGGAAAAACAAGAAAGAAACAGGGAGGAATATCGTCATTTATCGGTAAATATCCAGGAGAAACAAGAAAAAGACAATAAGATGTACTTTCATTTATCTGAAGATTCAAAAACTTCTCAAGCAACAAAGGAAGGTTTGGAAAAAGTAATCGATGGGAAGCTTGATGAGATTGAAAGGAAATTTGAGGAGTTTGAAGGAGTCGGCAGAAAATTTGAACAAGAGCTTGAAAAAAGCTTGAAGGAGTCGACAAAAAGTTTGAAGAGGATTTCCAGTAACTTCGGAAACAATGGCCGGCCTTGAAAATGATTACTGAAGATGCCCAGTTAATAGGAAAAGAACTTTCCACCAGACTTGATGAGGTAGCGGGCAAAGACTCCTCTATGGACAGCTCTGATTGAGAGAAAAGCTCCCCTACTTTCCGCCGCTTCGGGTTCCCTCTGACAACCTGTAAGGGTCCTTTGTCCAGGGATACGGACAGGAAACCTGAGGAAGCACCTGCCCATAGAGAGGCTGAGTGCTTATATGGGTGGTGATGTCCCCTCTTGGAATGTTGTTCAGGGCGAACAACCTCAGGGAAGGGGGTAGTGTTGTAAGTCACGCCCTAAGGAAAATAACGCCGGCCGCCACTGGTAGCCATAAACCAATTGTGACGTAGCTAAGAGCGCGCGAAGGTACGGTATTCGCTGACGTTTTAGATGTAGCGAGAATAATAGTACCGATTGATATTTTTAGCTATTCATTTCAATTTCATTTGTTCTTTCAGAGAATTTTATTGAACAACGGAAGTCCGAACTAGTTAAGTCCTGTAAAGTTTTAAGTGAAAATATCATAAAAAACTATCATTTAAATAAGTATGTGTTGACATTTGAACTATTGACATTATTTATTGCATCATGATAGAAACTTCCCCTTTTTAATTTGAGAATACTCACCACTTTGCTAATCCCCACTTTGAAACAGAATTTGAAATCTCTCCACTCTAATTTCTCTTCAAATGCGGAAGCAGTTTCTTCTAGCCTTATAACAAATACTGGTAGTTCTTCTATGAGTTGATCTAAATTTCTTGCTATCGAACGAACTTTTTGAGAGAAAGTCATCTGAAGAAAGGATTCTCTGAAGAAATGAATATGAACAAATACATTAATCCTTGTGGGATATCTGTTACAACGTTTCAAAAAAGACTAATGAATCAAAAACAAAGAATTTGGTATAGTTTTGAACATTAAGATAACTGAAAACATTTCATCTCCAACGTTTTTGGTACAGAGCTTTGACATTCAACTATTCGTTTGTGTTTGATGATGAGTTTTTTCCATTCCTGCGAAGTTATTTGTAGCTAAATGGGAAAGCAAAAATCAAATGTACTTTGGTATAAAAAAACTTATTTAACCTACTTATTATTATTATTCATTACAAATCTGTTGTTTCGGTTCCATTTGCAGAATCCAAAACATTTTTTGGAAAAAAGAATTTTAGCTTTCTCCTTCTCCATCTTTATACAAAAAAATGTGGGAATCTTCCAAGGAAAGGAAGGAAGCAATCAGTTTCAAAAAATCAACTCTATGCATACAAAGATGTGTAGATGATCCCAAAAAATTATTCTCTCCTAAAAATATCAAATCAATTCAAATCAAAATATTTTTTTCATCAAAAAGTTGCTTCCGCAGATTCACTATTTCACTAAGAACTTTGACTTTCTACTGCTTCATGATTGTATAGCGAGTTGAGAATCTTCAAAGAAAGGAGTTACAATTCAATATAATGTTGTAAATCATGCCCTTAAGAAAATAACGCCGGCCGCCACTGGTAGCCATAAACCAATTGTGACGTGGCTAAGAGCGCTCTCAGTTCGACCGACATTTCGCGGATATTCTACCGACTTCTATAAAATTTCGGCGAATTTTCTACCGCCTTTGATTACCATATATAAACACTACCCACACCCAGATTGAGAAGTCTAGTTGACAGTGCGGTACGAAGTGATCTAATGAGGCGACAGACGTGGAAAGTCTCTACGCTAATGTCCCTATCGAAGAAGCACTTCAAATCATACAGAGGAAGCTATCCAAAGATGGGGACCTGAAAGATAGAACAAACTTACCAATACAAGTAATCATGGAATTACTAGGATGCTGTGTACGAAACTGCTACTTCCAACTGAAGGACGAATTCTTTACGCAAGATGAGGGACTGCCAATGGGATCGCCACTTTCACCGGTTATAGCCAATATATACATGGAGTGGTTTGAAACTTTGGCCATTGAAGAAGCCCACAAGAAGCCGGGTCTGGTTGAAATACGTAGACGATACCTTCATAATATGAAACCATGGGAATGTAGAACTAGACACCTTCCTGAAGCACATCAACAACGTAAGTCCTTCCATCACTTTCATAATGGAGAAGGAAGTCCACAACGAATTGACTTTCTTAGACGTATTGGTGAAGAGGACCGACACTAAATGGGAAATTTCTGTATATCGAAAACCCACTCACATAGAACAGTATCTGAACCAGGAATCCAACCACCATCAAACGACTGAGAGATGAATTATCAAGACTCTACTAAACCGTGCTTTCGGGCTCTGTGATACAAAGGAAGGTCTTGAAAAGGAACTAGGCATCATCAAGAATGACTCCAGAGTGATGGTAGAACAGGCTTTAGCTAGAAGACAGCAAGAGCTCCACAAGGAAAAGAAACCGCCACAACCAGTACTTGTACTTCCCTACATCATTTTCACACATTCAACTTTACAAAAAACGTTAGTGTATAGCAAAACTCGTCTACAGTCAAGTTAATTCTGTCAAAACTGTTTCATTATCATGTTTAGTAAAAAGTATAGAAGATAAATAAAATTTTCTTACTTTTTATGAAGTATCAAACCAAGAGTAAAAGTTATATGTTCGTGGAGAGAATTGAGTTTTGTCAGCTCCCTGATATGAAGAAGTTTCTTCACAGTTTTCGAAATCGTGTCTCCGACACTTCCACCTCTGGCAGAATCTGGTGTGAAGAGTCCCTGAATCATTTGTTGTAAAGCCTTTTCAAAATGCGCAGTTAACATAGATAAGGTGTCCAGAATTATTTCGATCTGCAGAAAAATTCAATTGAAATAATCAATCTGCATGGGAACTTCTAGTAGAGGTTTGAAATGCTCTTTGTCAATAATTATTGATTACAATCTTCTAATCTACATGATGTTATTAAATCAATAATTGATTAATTGTGATACCATTCCATTTATATTATAGTTTAGTGCACAAGTGTCTTTCAGGTCATACTTTTTGCTCCGTCCCCCAAAAATTTGAACGACATGCCATTCTATTCGGAATAGGGTGTAGAATAAAAATGTAGTTTGTTTTTTGCAAATATTTTAAACCTGTTTAATTTTCTTCATCAATTTATATGTTCAACTTATTGTTTTTCACTCATTTTTACTGCCCTGAAGAAAAAAAAAGCGATTTATTTCCAACAGGAGTACCCAGTTACAAAAAATGCTATTATCACAGAAGCTTCCCATTAGAGGCGAAAGCTTGGGAAAGTGGAGCAGAGTTTTGATTTTTTGACTGAGAGACCGCGCTGATGACGCCAATAGCCAGAAACACGTGTCCGCGGTTTGCCTCCATTTTTTTAGTGTTCTAGTGTCCACAAATTTTCCCCTTTTTGATTTATATCATACACACTCAATAACATATTTATCTCTGTATTTATATCCTGGACCCGGAAGTCACGCAGGTTGCTGTAGCTGCCTACGTGGTGATGTCAGATTATGCCTGGGAATGCTAAGTCTTCTAATTGAAACCACAAATGTGCGGTTAGCTCCTGTTGGTGACACCGTGCACATGTGAAGTTTTTCATTTTTGGTAACCAGTTATTGTCCATCCTTGCAATTGGCTGCACCGCGCTGATGACTCCAATAGTCAGAAACACGTGACCGCGGTTTGCCTCCATTTTTTGAGTGTTTTGTCCACAAATTTTCCCCTGTTTTGATTTATATCTTACACATTCAATAACATATTTATCTCTGTATTTATATCCTGGACCTGGAAGTCACGCAGGTAGCTATAGCTGCCTACGTGGTATTTTTAAAAATATCTCATACAATTATTCTCTCTGCATCAGATCACATGAAAATTAGCCAAATATCTCAGCAGGCCATGAAAATTCTTCAAGTTTCTAAACGGCATGTAAATAAGCTTAAAAGAACACAACTTTTTCCTAATTTAACCTAAGCTGTATCTCCAACAGCTACTGAGATTCCCATGCTTAGGATCCTTATCTTGGGCACAGTTTTGCGTCTGGGGTTGAGCGGTCTGATTGCTTGTGCAAAGCGACAAAACGGATCTCCATGTTGATGGTAATCTTTGCGCATCATCCCTCTTGTTCATATTGTTAGATCGTTTTTCAATTTCGGTAGCCTCTCTGATTGTTCGCAAGTAAAAGTTTTCATTGCTTGCTAGTATTTTTGTGTTATCGAAATTGATGTTATGTCCTGTCTGAAGTACGTATTGGAAGAGAGAAGACATGGTGACTTTTCCCTTCACTGCTAGTTTGTGTTCATCTTTGCGAATGTTGATTCGTCTGTTGGTCTGGCCGATGTACGTCCTGTCACAATCATGGCATGGTACTTCATACACTCCTTGTGACTCCAGTAGTATCTGATCCTTGGGATTACGAAGCATGTACCTTATTGCCCGTTCTGGTAGGAACGAAGTTGATATGTTGTGTCGGCAAAGAATTCTGCTAATTTTATCTGTTGTTTCTGCAATATATGGTAGTGTGCTGGTTATGATCGGTGTATCTCAAGTTTTTTGTTGTTTCCGTGTGGTCTTGGCAGCCGCTTTTATACTTCTTTCTGAGTAGTTATTCATTTGTAGAGTTGTTTCGATGGTGTTCAACTTTTGTTGTCTGCCAGCCTCCTCGAACGTGTAATGAGTGTTTTTGCTACCGCGTGAATTTGTTTTGGGTGGTGGTGTGAATTTGTGTTTAGGTACCTATTCGTGTGTGTTGGCTTTCGATATACCATGTGACCTAATGCACGGTCCGGCTTTTTTATAATCAGAACATCAAGAAATGCGAGCTGGTAGCCTTCTTCAACTTCTTTCGTGAATTGAAATCAATATGGGAATGATCAGAAAGTACTCATCTTTTTGTGTTTTCATTTTCATGGAATTATTTTCCAGCAGTTTGACTGCATTAACCTTTGTCAATTTCATATCATTTCTAGAAATATATGGATCCGTTTTCCGATGGCATTTCAGGTTAGCTTCCCAAATTTCTGCTACCGCAGTAGTCGGTTGATTGGTCAAACCACCAACAGTGACATACAAACTTGGCAAGTTGACTTAGATGTCACACCAATAGGTGGTTCTACTTATGTCTTGCTTGCGTTTACGCAGTTATTTTCATCAAGAACTTTTCTTGCTTATTCACATTTTGTCTTCAATCGAGGACCGCCTGCCCAGTACTGACGATGTCCAATAGGCTGAAACAGCTGTCTATCGGTGGCTCTCAAATTGCGAATATTCAAATAGTAGTATCTACAGTACTTATCTATTTATCTTTTGATTTTCACGCAGCTTGACTGCATTAACCTTTCTCGATTTTATATATTCCATGAAAATCATACATTGATTTCAACTCTTGTGTCACAGTGTTAGTTGCCATACTCCTCGGAAACGGCTGGACCGATTTTCAAGAAATTTTATATTTATATTCGGTAGGTCTGAGAATAGTTTTTACTCTATTTTTCATATCACTAAGTGATAAGGGTGTACCACCCCAAACATTTCAATTTTTTGGACAAAATTTTTTGTTTTCATTTTTTTATAATGTGGCATCAAAAAATACATATAACCCCCAATTTCTACCTATTTATCACCAACCCCAATTTTTAATAGCCATTTTGGTAATTCAATAATTTTTAACCCTAATCATAGATCAGTTATACCCGCCCAGGCATCTACCGGTGTCACTTCTCACTCAGTAAACAGCACGGAGTAGGGATGAGAACGAAGCCAATCTCCTGTCTCTCTCACACAATAGGCCTTCTCTCACTGCCTACAGAGTATTACAAACTCATTGAATTTGCCAGGCATGCAACCGTACAAATGTCTCTCCAGTACCCAGCGTGGCATTAGCCGGGAATGTAGTTGTTTTCAGGCAGGCCTTAACCAGAAACTACTGCGTAGGTAGTTGGGCGAGATGAAAATTCTAAAACTTTATTTCAAAATATTCATTTTCTTATACACATACAGTGTGACCCATTTTTAATGGAAACACCCACCTAAAATTTGAAGTTGTAAACCGATTTTAATATTTTTTTTTTGAAATGTCAAGTACTAAAAGGTCTACTTTGGGACAAAATTTGAAATGTTTATTAAAGTTTCAGGGCATACTACGATATTTTTTCTTAGTCGGAAATCGGGATTTTTTATTAGCGATTTTTTTATTGAACAAATCACTACGCCAGTGGATTCAGAGTGCCTCTAAACAAGTATGACCTAAATTTCATGAAAAAATATTCATTATCAACAAAGTTATGACAACTCAAAAATTCGAAAACTCACACAGCTAACAGT